CCGAGCACGCCAAGAGAAAGACTGTCACCGCCATGGATGTGGTCTATGCGCTGAAGCGTCAGGGTCGCACCCTGTACGGATTTGGCGGCTAAACGTTCCTGTTTTCTCAAGTAAATCCAAAGGCTCTTTTAAGAGCCACCAATTTTGCATAGAAAGAGCTGACGGCCATTTTCTTTTCTAACATCGTTTCATGTCTGTCTTTGCGCCATATATAACACTAGGAAGTCTAACTTATAATAGCCTGGCAGCTGTGTATGCGTCAAGTTTGCGTACAGAAAAGCAAAAATGTTCAGTTAAACAAAGTATTGCTATTAATTCGGCAGTGTAAACTTACATACAATGAATTAGTATACGCAGTAGTATACTGTATTTAGTGATTGTAATTGACACACCACAGCACACCGTGTACAACGAAATGTGTTCCAATGCGACATAGCAGGGGGCAGCTAATTCAGCGCACGGGGAGGGCTTGGGGCCGGTATCTTGCTCAGGGTACCTCAGTGGTGTCTTACTGGTCGGGAATTCGAACCTCCAATCTTTCAATTACGAGTGCGCTTCCATAACTATATGTGATGTATAGTCACAGTTATTTCCAGTCCGAAACTTCAAAAAGACTGGCCTAATCACAATTCATGAACCTAAGTTGTTTAATGATTTTTATTATTTCACGTTTAATATCGACCAGTCCAGAAATATATTTTTAAAAGGTATCGTGATTTAGTAACGTCGATTTGGGTGGGGTTTCCTTTAAAATTGAAAGTGACTATCATACTAACTGTAATATGCAAGGTGTATATTCACTGAGCTGAACATTGTTGTAATCCTTGAACATTTTTATCAATTAATGGTTGTGGCTTTGTTTATTGAAGAATCAGGAATTAATGTCTTTGGTTCCTGTGAAATTTGGTTTGACCAATAGAAATTCAATATTACTAGGCGGGCTTTGAGCATCCAATGAAATCATTCCTAACTCTAATACCAAGTTTGCATACCGTCCATATATAAGGCGGGTGTGGTAACAAAACCCGTTATTCAACTTTGTGGTACTTGACGGAATATGCCTGATCCAGCGAAGTCTGCGCCTAAGAAGGGCTCTAAGAAAGCGGTTACTAAGACCGCTGGAAAGGGAGGAAAGAAACGTAAGAGGACCAGGAAGGAGAGTTATGCCATCTACGTGTACAAGGTGCTGAAGCAGGTGCATCCCGACACCGGTATTTCTTCCAAGGCTATGGGCATCATGAACTCTTTTGTCAACGACATCTTCGAGCGCATCGCCGGAGAGGCTTCCCGCTTGGCCCACTACAACAAGAGGTCAACCATCACCTCCAGGGAGATCCAGACTGCTGTGCGCCTTTTGCTTCCTGGTGAGCTGGCCAAGCACGCCGTGTCTGAGGGCACCAAGGCTGTTACTAAGTACACCAGCTCCAAGTAAAGTGTCTGTCAACGTTTCCCCCCCCCCCCAAGGCTCTTTTAAGAGCCACCCACTTTCTCGGAAAAGAGCGTTCTCTTTTTTATTTTCTATTTTTTCCCCCCTAGGTTTAATTCTATGCAAAAAACTTTAGGCTGCCTCGTTATGATTGGCGCTGTGCAAATAAACTTTTCTTGACTGCTATACCCCATGTGACAACGTCATCTCTTCCGCCGATGTAGGTCTTATGCTTACGTTTCTAAGAATACCTGGAAAGCTCAACAACCAACAGCTCTTAAGAGCCATCCACTTTTTCTGATGGAAACGGGGCAACTAAACTCCTCTAACTAAATATCGTTTTTTCCTGATCTTAAATTCAACTCGTTTTGGTTAGCAATTGTAAGTGCGTTGTCTAAAATATCATATGGAATGTTTTTTTTTTTTAAAGCTGTAACGTAAACCCGTACAATGCGCGGATAGGTCGCAGTGCGGGACTGTAACTTCGGGTCAGTTGGTGACCTCTGGACCAATCCGGTTCAACGTCAGTTTTGGCGCGAGCTTTAAACCTCCTTTAGCGACTACGGGGTTATTTACCGGCGCGCATTATCGGTACCTTACGACTCCTTTGTTTAGCATATGAATGGCTTTTCGCAATAGACTAGAATCTACGCAGTTGTACGCAACTTGATCGACGTTATGAACAACTATAAAAATAAACGACACATGGAAAAAGGGGGGGGAAAAAAACAAGTATACAGGTTACAATAGTTTGCTTTTAATAAAAGCGAATAAAGTACCTAAGTAAATCAAACAACTCCGGACTCGGTTTAATACATTCATTACTTGAGACATGAAACTAAATTCTCAGGCTGTAAAACGCCAATGTAATTTGATTGGTTGCTTTCGAAAAGAATGGCTTCCTCGTATTTTACAACGTAACCTGGCCTTAGCTGAAAATAAGATCACGGTTAAGAAAAATACTGTACAGTAAAGTTAATGCCTCTGCGCTGATTTCAGTATACAAAGGCTTTTCGTAACTGGGACGGGCTGCTCCGGGGTTTTAAACGGCATAAAATGTACTGCATAAATACATTTAAGGACATTTCACATTAGCGAAATAAGATGGATCCCTTGAATCGCAAAAAGATCAATACTAACAAAAATTCTGAATCTGTGATAACAGCAATTTAAATATACATTTAAACATACATCGGAATTATAAGCCATGTTACAACTGCCTTTCTAAATAGACCAAAATGTCTATAAAGTAATCAAACATCTGATCACACACATGGCCTTAAACCATGTCGGAGAAAGCATAACATTCACATTCGTATTGTGTTCTTCATGAAAGATGTGTTGAACTGAATATCCAGGAACAATAAGCACAAAAAATGAAAAAGAACTTTTTTTAGTCTTTTTCGTGCTTTGGTCTTTTGAATTATTAAAACAAAATAGCAGATGTAATTTCTGTACAGGAAAATTGCTATGAGACAGATTCTTCCTCCGCAGAAGCCCTTCAGATGTCTTGGAAAAGCATAGAAGGCCCAGTTTAAATGATGAGAAGGTACATATAATGCATTACTTATCCATATGGCCGGCTAAAAGCTTTAAAAATATGCAGCAGCCACAAATAAAATACTAATTGCGATCAGCTTCTATCTTTCTCATGTATTTTGTTGAAGGGAATTCTGCTACATTATGAAAGCTTAGTATGAAACTAAAGCAAGAACAATTTTTGCGATTCAACAGCACAGTCTTAAGCATGTTACATTAGCACATATAAAAAGTGCTGGTTTGTTCAGTGCTACAGTAGATTATTGTGTCATTTACTGATGCCTTTTAAGTTAGAGGAGACAGGGCTGCTGTTTCTTGGAGTAAAAGTACAGCGTGAGGGTCATTCGTTGCTGACAGTCACATTTAAAAACATGCTTGCGTGGTGTCCTTTACCGCTGTAGGAATGGTACATAGAGGCACTCTGGTTGAGGATCTTCTCTCCTTCCTAAGTCCCATTCAGCCTTTGACATTTATGATCTCGAATCCCACTTAACAGTCCCTGCTGCAAACCATCGCCGACGGGAGAGTAATTTTAGCAACAGAACATAACAGCTGTTGCTTTGAAAAGAAAACAGTGTCACAGGTCATTTGTGTACAGCTCTGGAAAATATTGCGACCACAGGAAATGGTCAGTTTCACTCATTTCTCAATTGAAGGGGTATGCGTCAGTGTAAAATACACATTTATTTGCAAACTCCAGCCTGGCTCTTCCCTGCCTCTCATTGATGAAAAGCTTCTTCCTTGCTTCTAGGAGCCCTAACTGTCCTAGCAGTGCACCTCATACCACTTAATGTTTCCCACTCTTTTTGAAGGTCACCTGAGGTTATCCTCCGATTTGAGGCACTGCAGGATAAGTTGACAGTCTCTCTACCAGGCTGGTGTTTGGTCATTGCCAGTGTCTCCCGCTTCACTTTGGCCTTGTGTCCTGCTGTCTTAGAAACTCTGAGCCTGGAAGCCGCCTGTCTCGCGGTGTAGCCTTCTGCCAGCAGAGCCAGGATTTAAAATTGCAGATTTGTATAAAAATATAGAGTGGTCTCAATTTTTCTTTCCAGAGATATACAGTCAGTCAAGAACACCACCCAACACACCTAGAACTAAACTGCACAGACATGATCACACTTGATATCCATTTTACTACTGATTAGTTTCACAGAATTCTTTTGTTATGGATTTCTGGGAAAATTCCAATGCAAGTAAATCAGTTGAGAAGACATTCACTGGTATCTAACACAATAAAAATAAATGAACTATGATGATTTAATTGTGTTGCCCATTGGTCTTTATATTGAGGGCAAGCTTGCTACCAGGAGGTCTGAAAGAGGTTGAAAGATTTAACGTCTGGCTACATCAGAAGTGACATATGAGAACTACAGGTTATTCATTAAACCCACCTCTTTCAGGGTAAAACCACGGCAGTCAGTCTGTAACTGACTACAGGACAGAGGGCATAACAGCAGATATAATAATAATGTAAGGACAACTAATTTAAATTCTGAAATGACCGACAATAAAACCTTTGTAAATTGGGTTCATGTTTAGAAAATGCACATCAAAGGGTCGGTCTGACATTGTAAGGCATTTCTGACAGCTTTTGGTACAGCTGGGGAGAATCTACGTGCCAATAATCGTCTACTGCTTCTGCTGCAAAAACAGATCCTTCGATTAGCAAGTTTAACACAATGGGAACGCAACACTTGAGAAAATGAAGCACTTTCATTTTTTTCCTTGTCATACCCTGATAAATTACACATTTTGTAAATTTGGACAGTTCCTTGGCACTCCTGCTATCCTCTGGCCTGAGTTAAAATTCTTCTATGGGCAAAAGTCATTATTCATGTAAATACTTCAAAATATATCAGATGTGTGTCAGGAAACAGAAGAGTAAGGCACATTGTAATCCCTCACAACATAGGCTACTGATTTTAAGTTACTGGTGACCTATTGACATTAGTTTACTTGTGGACAGGTATTTCCATTAGATGGGGGTCACCTACACTCAAACAGTTAGATCACTGATTACGGTGGATCACAGAAAATCAGCCAGTAGACCTACATCACTGATCAACACCCCTCCCTGGAGGAATTAAATAAATTCACCTGGTCTGCCTTAGCCTGCAATTGAGAGAAAATAAACTGCAGCATCATGACTGTAAATCAAAGCTTGGAATCAGTGTGTAGTAACAGTGTTAATGACCCCCACCCCTCATGGAAAAGGATTTATATTTTTCAACACAGACTTTGAGAAATACATTAGAAATTCTAAAATGACAGTAAATACAGTACAATGCTGATATTAATCACATTTCTTCTGCATTGTCAAATACACAGAATACCATTTGATGTTGCTACTGGAACATCTGTCTCTGTGCACACACTGTGCATAATGTCTTATTATCTAAAGCCTTGCTGGTACTACAGACCAGTAATTCCAGGAGTAGGCATGAGTCTCAAAAACGTGCTCTGGTTTACTAAACGAGAACACTCTGCATTTCAAAATGAGCAGAATAGACACGTTCAGCGCGACTGTGCTGGAAACTGTGAAAATGGAAAACAAGCAGATGTTTCCTTCCTCAGTCACAACTATGACTGTTACTCAGAATATGTTCCCAGTTTTGATAATGAAACACTTGTAACACTTTTCCAAATTACTAGATACACATTCAAAATGTAAGTGTTGGGCAAGGAACAGTTTTATCCAGAAGCTACAGAGCAAACGAGAAACAAATATCTCCATTATCCCCACTTTTAAAATCCTTTAGAGATTTTCTGTCATTTAACTAAACAGGTATTATTTGTGGAATACCTTTAGCTGCAAAGTGATGCAAAACAAATACACCTTACAAATGTTATCCATCCTTCAATTTACACCATCCTTCAATCAAGCACGACTAAGACTTCAACTGTGGAGAACAACTTCTGTCAGCAGGACCGAGACCGGGGCGCTCTGCCTTAGCCAGCATCAGCTCACAACAAATGCAAACACGCAAAGCCTCTACTGAGACATGAATTAAAGCTGACAGGGCAGCCATCTTGTCCTCAAAGCAAGCAGTATCCCCTGCAGAGCTACCTGAACATTTTTAAAGCCAGTGTTAAGGGTTTCAAAGTTATATTACACTGCTAGTAAATTAATATTTACTTCTCCTGTAAAAAACAGACATGGCATACGAGGTTTTGCCAAAACAAAAGGCTTAATGCTACTTAAGATTTTTTTTCCTGATTTGTTAAATAAGAGAAACAAGTTAAATTATACATTTTATATGGAAACTACAGGCTTAATTTTCCCAAGCTTAAAAAGCAATGCCTTCTGCTATAAAATATATTTCTAAAGCATATAATCCTGGTTCAATAAATTAAATATTTCCTTATACATCAAGCATTTTCATTTCTCACTAACAGAACCACATCACATGACTACAGCTCATATGTATAAATATCACATTTGTTCTTCAGCAGGCCTCCTCCTTATAAAGGACCCCACAAGCATGCAAAATGCTCATCTAACGATAAAAAAAAATAAAAATGGGTGACGTACAGCACCAAACTCTTTAGCGCCCCCTGCTGCCCTCCTGAGGTATGGCTTCTTGTTTTGTCTGCACATGTACTGGCACTTATCCTCTGTGTACAAAAGGTTGTGTCATGGCTTTGCGTTTCCTCTCACGGTGGGCTGGCTTTTAAACACCCCCCCCCCCCCAAATCACGGACTCAGATCCACACGCACAGGAGGAATCCAGAAAACAGGGGGATGAGCTTGAGCAGAAGCAGCCACAGGGTGATGACCAAGCTGGGAGAACTGGAACAGGGATCTAGGGGTGGAAGGGTACTTCAGTGTACGGACAGCCCAAAAGTACCACGGCTCGGCCGGGGTAGCGCCGTGTGCGGGGGCGGAGCTTACCGATGGGGACGCTGCGGGAGGTGTTGAGAGGCGGGAGCTCGTGTGGGAGCGGGCAGGAGGTGCAGAAGTCGGAGCAGGGGGGGCAGACCAGCACCCCGGTGTGGACCCATTCGCTACCGCGTACACTGACATTCAGCAGCTGACCTGTTCGGACACAGTGGAACGGAGTACCCTGGACCCACACGGCGAGTCCCAGGAGAGAGCAGGAGGTCTGGGGGGGGGGGTGGACACAAGGAGAAAGGTCTAGTTAAAGGTGTTCTCCAGAGGGAGACTCTGCACGAGGATGGGGGTAAACACACGTAAAAGATGGAGTCAGATTCCTGAAGCGTCTCTGTCATTCAGCCACAGTGCGGCTTGGGCGCTCTGGCCTCGCCTGCTACCAGGAAACACCTTCGCCGTCCTGGAATCATCCTGACCCGCAAGTGCTGTAAGTCTGTCGGCTGAGGTGTCTTTTCCCCTGTCCTTCTAGTGGACGCCATGCAGACTGTAATCTCAGACGGTGGGACCGGCCTCACAGACTGTCACCTCATGTAATCGACTTGTAAGACTGGACGGGGCTTATACCTTGAGTGACGTATAATAGAGAAAACTGGGTCAGCTAGTTCCGGGGGCCATTTTCGTTTAAGGGTCACAGGTCCTACGGTGAAATCACTCTACTGACCATGGGATTTGAACCAGCGACCTTCCGATCATGGATCTTAGCCCTGAGAGCCACACAGCACCACTTAGAACCTACAGACTGGCAGTGTGATGACAGGGAGGCCATGAGGGCTGCCTCAGCTCGGACTCGAGGCTCCGCTCCCCGCTGCCTCACCTTGTAGCAGCCGCTGCCCCAGTCGGGGTAGGTTAGGCGCCGGCTGCACTGCTCCATGACGAATGCCGACCTCTGGGACAGGCACACGGAATCGGGGCCATACTCCTCAGCGGCGTAGTTCGCCCAAGACACTGTGGGGGATGGGGTGGGAAAGTCAGGGTAAAAAAACAGATGGGAGTAGGGAGGGGGGATCTGCGCTAAGCTGGGGGAGAGATGCACAAGCAGCCACACGGTTCGGCTGGGAAATCTTACCGGGCTGGTTCTCCAGGACCCGGCAGTCGGAGCTGCGCTGGTACTGCCCACTGAGGTGCCAGCTGAACTCCTGCCGGAAGGGGCAGTAATCGGCGATCTCCACCGCGCCTCCATAGCGGGGCAGGTCCTCTGAGGGCACGCCGGGGATGAGGTCGAAGTACTGCAGGGACACGGCGGGTAAAAGCCATTTACTGGGAGCCAGTCAGAGAGAACGGCCAGGAGGCCTCGGTATTTTGTCTGTCCATCCATGCATCCATCCATCCCAAACTGCATTTCCCGGGGAGGTCCATGATCTCAGTATGCTGAGCAGGTAAGACCACATCTTGCTCTCTGAGGTTGGGAACCCAGCCATATGAGCTCTGCCCCTCAGTCACCCACCCCCCCCAGTCACTGCGCTGGCCCCTGTACTGCAGGTGCACACCTGGTACTCCGGGGGGAGCTGGTGCTCGTACTTCTGCAGGTTGCAAACGGCGACGGCCCGCTGGTCCTGACGGCAGGTGAGCTGCAGGGGCGTGCTCCTCACCCTGTCACAGTACGGAGTGGGGGCCTGCCTCCTGGCCCGGGGGGAAGGGGGGGGGGATGCGGCTGTCAGTCTCAACACCACTTAATTAGCGTAACGAACGCTGTACATCTGTAACTAGTGAAAACACTGCAGGCAAACGCTCCAATTACCATTCAGGTAACCATGCTGCAGAACCACTTTGATTCCATGGAAACCTCCACCTCAAGCACTATATGAGTGATTCAGTTCTATGCTAGATCCCAGGTATAAACTCAAGCAAAGTTCAGAGGGGAGCACCGGCTCTCATTGCACGACTCACTTCTGCCTCTGCTGGTCAATCCAGAACTTGCAGCTCTTTGTTACAAAGTCACAGCCCATGCCCCGCCCCCAGTCCAGCCTCTCTGCCAGGCTGTAATTGGCTCGGTACCACCTGGGAGGAGAAAGGCACAGCCCGTTTTCACATGGGTGACAACAGTGACCTCAGCACCCCAGAGACATGATTTTGATTGGCAACTTCCATCCATCCATCCATCCATCCATCCATCCATCCATCCATTCTTTAACCAGATGCAAGGCAGTTGGCAACATTTATACACGTATATTTATTTTTAAATGATGGGATCCCTCACATTCCAAGCATATAAAGGACTATTTAGAGTTATTATGACTGGAACTAAACCCCAGTACAGAACTGTGCAAAAGTCATAGGCAGCCAATGGAAATCATGTTCAAGTTACGGATATGTTGGTGTAAAATTACGACTTCATGCCTGTAGAAGTGTGTCAGAATAGCCATTTCAAAAGCTCTCAAGTCACCCCAGGTTCTACAGTTACCATCCAAAATATCCATATTAAAAACATTTTCTTTATTTCTGAGAAAACATACACTTATTACCCAGATAAATAACTTTAAACAAAATTTCCTAAGACTTTAGCACAGTGCTGTATGTGTGACGGCACATTCTCCTTTTCCTCGCTCACCCAGTGTCCTCCATTATCGCCAGAGTAATTCTGGAAAACACGCGATTCTGTGCGTGGGATCCTGTCATTGCCTCGTTCTGGAAGAGAGCAGGACAGAAGGTGCTGAGGCTCACAGCGATTCTAAACACGCCGCCCGCAGAACATCTGAAACCAGCTTCTGGCCAGACTGTCTCCTATACTCAGGTCGATGGTGACTTTTGCGACAATATCATTCAAATTCCATTTTGCAAAGCAGAAATTCCATATCTGGCAATACTTGACATGTGATATGATTTGATTCAGCAACACATATTTTCAGTACAGTGAAATATTGATTTTAGTGGAATTTATTTGAATTCAAAAAGATTTAACAATAACTGTTTAGTTTTCCATTTTTATAATAGAATATGTTTTTTAAAAATATACAGGTCTCAAAAGCACAAAAAATATCTGGACAAAAAACATCCCATCTTTGTGTTTTAACAACAAAAAAACTTATTTTCTGGAAACAACACAAAGGTGTTATAAACTACATTAAATGTACAGTAGTGTATTGGTCTTTACTCACTATTAAGGTGTGTCTTTGGACTGCTTTGTGTGAGAGTTTTTTTTGTGTATTGTCATGGTTCGGGTATATGAAGTGATATTTGTTAATTGAGCTGATAATATGATATCGTGGCATTAACAATCGATTAATCGAATATATTAATCCAGAGGCTAACAACGTACACCTACTTTAAGAGGCACATTTGAAGACTGAAGCATCCTCATTTCATGACAGAAAGTTGGATAATGAAGCCAGGATCTGAGGCTAGAAGGAAGCCTCAGATGTTTCTCCTGGACCACGTAATCAGGGCAGACTGTGTTTGCGGGTCAGTCGCCTTCTTAGGCCCCTCGGTCAGGGGGTGGGGGCTCCGCACATACCTCCAGCAGTCTCTTCTCCCAGTGGTTGAGCTCGGTCCCCAGGCCCCCTTGATTCTCCAGCTCCATGCCCTCCAGGAAGGGACAGTGAAAATGACTCCTGGCCTCCCTCTGAAAGCACAAGTGTCCCGTGAGCGGGCACTAAATCGTGGAAGCGAAGAAAGGGGCAGCACAACAGCCACAAAAGAGGAGATATGTGGGTAAACAAGGTAAAAAAACGTCGCTGGTGTGGTGATACTTTTGGCAGTTTAAAGTCTGATGCATTTATTAAACATAAGAGTCCGGATTTATACATATCACTAACTTTTGGGCATCACAATACACATCTCATTAATGTTTTAGGGACACTAATCTGCTTACAAAATTGTAGGACAAATGTTTCATCCATCATCTAAAAGCTCTGGTGATTATTGCGCATGCGCCATATAATCGCGATTATATTGCGACGTGATCGCAATAGCCCTACCCGTATATGCAATATATACATGCGCAAAAGGGGACATGCATGCACACGCAAGGAGACACAGGACAATGAACCAATATCCCCTGAAGCCTCTCGAGACGTCTCTAACTCTTACCACCACTCTCGGGGTGACCAGAAGATGGACCTCGCGTGACACAGTGTTGTTCCCACGGACGTCCCACAACCGCCTGGCTTTCTGCACGACCTTGTCGCTCCACTGGTACAGGCCCAAGCTGCAAGGGATGGGGGGGCAGGCAGAGACCTTGAAGAAGCTGTGCGGAGCCTGGAAGGGCATTCTGAGCAACGGCAACCCTCACCTCTCGCTGAAGGGCGGCAAGCCGCTCGCGTATCGCTGGGTCAGAGGTTTCCCGTTATCGTCGTGGTAAAACGCGAAGAGGCCCGCGGAGAATCCCTGCGCAGGGCGTCACATCGACCGGTTAGAGCGCCTCACAGTGGAGAATTTCTGAATACTGATGCGGCCAAGTAGAACAGTAGGAATTAAGACAGCGAGTACCAGGGCGTGGATGATCTCATGCTTCACGGTGGAGAGCATGGCAGCGAACTCCTGAGGATGCACAGGAATCATGGCCGGGCACAGGTTGGCATACCCAGCAACTGGCCTACGGGTGCAAGAGGCGGAGCCACAGGTGAGCGAAAGGGCGCCAGATCTCAAACGCCGACTTCACGGTAATAATTATGAGATTGAATGAACCTCCATTTACTTCGTGAATCATGACGTGACATCAAGATCATCTATAGCAAGAAACCAGTGATAGACCTTTCAGAAGCACCCACACTGTAATCCTGGCAATATTCACTGCATCCCTGCCTTGTTCCAGAGTGACACCCTCCCTCACCCGACGCCCTCCACCCCCTACCTGTCAAGCTCGGATTCCAGTTGGCAGTAGGCGGCGTAGGCGACGATGTTCTCTTGCCCGCAGCGCTCTGTGGTGAGCCCGCTGACGTAGAGCACGAAGTCAGCCCCTTCCACACCCTCGCCATCGGGGGGCCCCACTGAGCCGCACTGCTTGCCGCTCTCGCTGCACACCTTGCATTGCTGCGGAGGACACGCACTCTCAGCATATCTGTACCAAAGAAGGACCTTTAACCGCGCAGGAAGAACACGAGTCCACGAGTCCAGCCCAGACACAACACATGGGGTGTCACAGAGCATAGTTAAATACGCTTCACTGCAGTGTTTCCGAATGCTTATGTGAAGAGTAGCTAAGTCCTTTCACGGGGAACGTGTTACAGTGAAATACATCTCATTATCTTAATGTATGTCCTAAATAGAAATGAGTACCAATTCATTTAATTTCACATTAGTCAAACTCACTTGTTCAACTGCTCATCATTAATAATCATTAATTTAACTATTTAATAAAAGTAGGTTTTAATTATTTTATAATTACAAAACATTTTAAAATTACTCAGAATGAATGAATAAGTAAATTGAAAAATTGCTCTCTGAGTAACAGATCATCAAGACCATTTATCTTTCTAACAGACGAGACAGACAAAAGACAGCGGAGACGTGCTCACGGGCGAAGGAAGACAGGAAAGTCAGCGGTGCTCGGACCCTGAGGACCGCGAGCTGCATAGCCCTGCTTCAGGCTAAGGTCGTTAGCATCATTACCATAAACGTTTCATTCTCAGGTCAAATACACAGAGACATTCAGACATAATACATGTCCATGCATCTCCGAATGCTACAGCAGATTTTCTAAAATACTTTATGTAAATTTTGTAATTCTCTGTCCATTTAATAACTTAAAGTATCAGGTACATTGCAGAGAACAGTATGGATGTTGTAACGACCTGCACACTGATGTAATCTGGAAGAGGCCCTAAATAAACACTTAACGAGACTGTCTAAGATTATGGGAAAGCACTCACCTGTCCCTGCCCAGGACAAATGGCTAGAGGATGGATGGATGGATGGATGGATGGACGGACATTGTCATAATGCTACTTTTGGATAATTCATTTATGTAATCTTACAGATTTGCATCTGTATCAAGCAGGTGTTAATTAGCATGAAATCCCCATTGGTTGGCTAACTTCTAATAATACCAACAAAAACATTTTCCTATGTCACCAAACAATCTGAAATTATACGACCAAGTAAGTACATCAGAAACACGTCTGAATCATCCGGAAGTATCAGCTTCCTGGAAGGCTGTCGCAGCCCTTCAGCGCTCAGTTAGCTTTCTGAGGTCTTGCTTAAAAATGTAGAGATGCAGGCCATGTACCTTCCAGAAAAGTCACAGTGAAAGGGAGGGGCCAAGGTGGAAGCTGACCTGTAAATGATGCTCAGGAACGATGACGGGTCCACACCTCGTTCTCTCGGCACATGACCCCTGGCAGTAGCGGTGAGGGTCATCCTTCTTCCGCAGGTACTGATTGGTTGAGCATTGTCTTCAGAGAAGAGCACAGGGAGAGCTTTAGAGGGACATTTCTCAACATCTTTCCCAGAAAAATCAGACCCAACTCACACCTCCACCAGGTGGACCCACTCGTAATGATCCACTCTATGGGGGTAGGAGGGTCTACTAAAGGTGTGATGGTTACATCTACCCACAACTGCCCCCCCCCCTTTAGTTTCACTCAACGAGCCAGCCTACTCAGGGCCGGTGCGAAGTGAAACTACCAGGGAGTATAAATATGTGGACACTTACAACCTTCCTCAGACTGAAGAAGCTGCTTGGATGAGCAGTGAAACGTTTCTACCTTACAAGAGAGAAGTCCAGTTGCCATGAATCAACCCACCAGACAATTTCACCTGGATGACTGAGAATCTTCACAGGGACGTTTCTCAACGCCCAATGGAAACACAGAGCTGTAACTGTCAACAAACTAAGGAAAGTAGGATGACCTGCTGAGAAGCACTGGTCCAGCTCTCCTGCGCACTTGAAACACCTTCTGTAGATAGTCAATGGCTTGGGGAAACAGTTTATCCTGTCAAAATACAGAGTAAAAACCATGAGCAAGGGATCTGACATTCAGTCAGGTTTGCATTCACAGTTGCATCTAGAGATGAGAGATGGGATCTGATCTAAGAGTCCAACCAAAAGTGAGATTTCCATGTGTCTTGGAGCCTGGATTCTGGAACCATGAAAGTGAGATTTTTTCCCCACACACGTTCTCATACCTTAACGAGCCTCCTCTTCTCTAGACCCAGCCTAAAAAAAACAAATAATAAGTCTGACTTCTGGCAAAGAGATCTGGGGGACCAAAGATGTATGACAACAGGCACTTACTCTTCCACACTGTCATCATAGACGATCTTAATTACTAACTGCTGATCAATACTTCTCTTGGTTATCCTTCCAGGCTTCAAGTACACTTGGTGAACAACCTGTGAAAATGACATTAAATAGGCACAATCACTTCTGCGAACTTGTATGAGATAACCACCGTACATATATTACTTTGCTACAGACGAAGAGATATTGCATTAAGACAGATCACCCGGTAAGACCTAAAATAAGAAAGTCATTACTACACTGATCAATTCTGCCGTGCGCTGCAGTCGACACAACACACAGAGATTTACAGCATAACCAGCGAATGCACACATCAGAGAGAGCTTTTGGTTACACGTGCCGCCACCCTCGGACCCCGCGATCTCAAGTCCTAACCTCCGACGGACGCGGGACGGCGTGCTTGCATATGTGACAGTGTACAAGTAGGACCAGCAGGGACAGCGCGCACAGCGGCCGTAAGGAGACCAGCAATCCCCGGCAAAGACTCAGCCTCGGCGCCATCGTGCTGGAGTGCGCGCAGCCGGGGCCCGGGCGCCACAAACACCGCGCATAGCTGTCCTTCCACCCCGCTGCGGAGGACCAGGCTTGCCTTCACCGTCGCAGACCGGCGCCATTCATGATTATACCGCGGAGTGACACCCGTCGCCGTAACCGGAAACAGCGAGTAGGTGCCGCTTAAGTCTTCAAAATAGCAGTCATACTCGCTATATACTGCCGCACCACACACAAACTGACAGACATCATTTTCGGGTAAGCCGCGGTTTAAAAGGCTCCTTGTGCCGAATATAAATACCGATGCTGAGTGGGCAATGAAAACGGCTGTAAATATCTGATTTGAGTTACTCTGGATGCATACTCAGCTGGTGTTTGTACTGTGGATCAGTCAATAGTGTGGACTCTTTTAAACGGCATTTAAAAACTTTTATGTACAGACAGACATTCTTTGAATATTCTTGTTTTATCTCTTGTGATTCTTGTGAAGCACTTGAGGACTTTTGTTCTAGAAAGGTGCTATATAAATAAAACAATTTTCCTCAGACATCAGTAAATGGTAAAATAATGATTCTTGCAGAGCCTGGCCTATACGGTTAGTTAAGTTTGACTTAAACTAAGATGAATGGCGTTAGAAAGTTGGTTCCCGGCCACCTATGTCATGAGACACTCCGCAAGGTCATAACATCTTTATTTTAAAATGCATCCAGCAGTAGGCTATAGTACAGGGCCATGGTGAGCCTGTAGCCATTCTTAGGAAACGGGGAGCATCATGGACAAACACTTCTTAAGGTTCGGGACAAAGGATTTTATAATTATAAAGGTTCCGTTTTTTGAAACTAAGAAAAAGCACATTCTCACAGGTCTTTATTGACTTTTATTCTGGTACAAAAATACCGGAAGTAACTAACGGGAAATGAAGAGACTCCCGAACATTGTTTGGACCTGACGTAACTTCCTTAACAACTGTCTCATTAGTGATCGACCCGGTCTGAAACATCATTGGCTATTTTCAGTCTTTTTTTGTACTTTTTTGTGACGTTAGTTTCCATGAGGTACAACATTTGCATGCAAAGGCTTTTGAAGAAAATGACAAACTAAATGATTTATGTAGATGACTTTTCAAATAATTTGCACCGCTTTGCTCAATGCATTTGATAATCTAGTTGAAACGGAAAAATGTTACCGTTAAATTGGAATGATTACTGGCATGGACTTTTTTGAGAATAAATTTGAAAATTAATTTTTGAATGAGTTTTAATATCAAATCAGTAGTGTCATTATATTCCTTTATTTTATATGTGTTAAATATTTATATGCACTTTTTTATATGAGAGTACGTTTAAGTATGTTAAGCATGGCTGGCTCTGTTTTTTCAGGTTCCTTCACAACACAGGAAATCTGGGGGCTCTAGATTACTGCCTGCTCTGCCTGTTGCTAGATCTGGTTTCTGGCATTATGATAGATGAACTTAATTTATTATTATTAGCCAACTGGGCTAGTTCAGTTAAAAAAATGACTAGCCCAGGAAAATTTTCACTAGCCCACAGTTTACAGTGTAACTTTTTAGCATATTGAAATAAACCAAAACCCATCACACCTTACAATAATAAATTATAAGAAGTCATCACTTATTAATTTCCATAAAAATTTACCCAGTCAGTCCATAGCCAATCCCTATCAGTCATCTAGCTATCCAAATTTCTGGCATCTTCATTTTTTTAAAGTACACATTAGGATGCTTTGGAAATGCATTAAATATAGTTTTTTTCCAATTTCTTTTTTCCATCTAGCTTGCCAGTAATACAGCTCTGTATTATTATTATTTTTTTACTATTCTCACATTTGGGTATCAGAATTAACACGTGGCAGTGTAACAAGTTATGGATTTTAAAAAATGAACACATTGACCGCCCTCCAAGGATAACTTCAAGTGTCCGTGAAAAAGAATGGGAAACATTAAGTGGTGTGAAATGTACTGTTAGGACAGTTAGGACTGCTAGGGCTCCTAGAAGCCCTTAGAGACCCATAAAGCCAGGAAGAAGAAGCCCTTCATCAGTGAGAATATATATAACCTAGTTATTATAGTTGTATTTGTAATGTTGCATTGGTGGCTGAAGGGGGCGCTCTGGGTTCTGATATGAGAAATAAGATCTGTGCTCCAGCAGTTATGAAGATACTTTTCCTCTTGTGGTCTTGGTGAAGTTGGCAAAATTATTGCTAAATAAATAATGTCAGAAACCTATTTCTCCTGGCAGCACAGTGGTCTGGTGGCCTCACACCAACACTGTAAACCTTCAGGACTATGGGTTTGTTTCCTGCCCCGATTCCTGTCTGTTAAGTGTATTAAATACTACTGTGTATAATAATACTGTTTATTCATACTGTGCATACATTGAGTTATATTCTCTGTATGCATAGCCGTTATGGTCATCAAATACGAGTCAAAATTATTTCAGATGAAAGTAAAGACTTGAGATGGTTTTCTTCTCTCTCTTTCCCTTGCTTTCTGTAGGAGAAATGATTCCTGTTGCATCCATCCATCCATCCATCCATCCATCCGTCCATCCATTATCCATAGCTGCTTTTGCTTGCAGGGTCGTGGGGATCTGTAGGCAGAGAATAACCAAGAACAAGGAGCCAGCCACCATACTTACTTATTGTAAATCATTTATTTTTAATTCTGCTAAAGGGATTTATAAAGTATCTATGTATCTGTCTGTCTGTCTGTCTGTCTGTCTGTCTGTCGGTCGGAGGTCAACAACAGGTGACACAGTTACTGGATGGGTAGCATTGAAGCCTCACACTTCCTGGTTGGTGCATTAGGTTCCTGCCTGAGCTCTCTCTGTGTGGAGTTTGTATGTTTTTGTTTTTTCCTTTCAACAACAGTGAGGACAGGTCTCGCTGAATCGGTGCCTCTGACTTGCCGGCGGGGTTGAGCGTGACCTGCGAATGACTGGCACCTCGGTCAGGGCGTTCCCTGCCTTCTGCTTCTTGAAATGGTTAATGACCCTGCATTGGATGCATGGCTAACTGCATTTGCCGAACTGCATTTGGTGATACTTTGTTTTAGTGTGTTCATATTGGTGCCTGTCTGTGTTTGGTAGGACGTAGAGATATGTATGGGATAACTGTCAGATTGAAAAATGGTGTTTTAGAGCAAGCTGTTAGACATGTTGTTCCTGATTTCCCTGTGAAAGCCATGAGGCAAAAAAACAGGGATTTCTCAGGTACCTCAGGTACACTTCCTTAAATGTCCCTATTATTATTATTGTTATTATTATTTGACTCTCCCTGCCGGCCCCTGGAGGATGGGCTCCCCCTTTGAGTCTGGTCCCTTCCAATGTTTGTTCCTTCTAGGGAGTTTTTCCTTGCCACTGTCACCTATGGCTTACTCACTGGGGGCTTTGGGTGGGGATGCTGTAAAGCGCTTTGGGACAATGTAATGTTGTGATAATGCGCTATACAAAAATAAATTTGTTGTTGTTATTATTATTTTATAATTATTTCAATATAAACATATACAGCTCAGGAAAAAATTAAGAGACAGCTATACAGTATAGTTTTTTTTAAAATCAACATTTTTAAATTGAGGTTTAATCCTGGCTCTGCTGACAGAAGGCTACACTGTGAGGCAGGCTGCTTCCAGGCTCAAAGTTTCTAAGACAGCAGGACACAAAGAACAAAGTGAAGCGGGAGAAGCTGGGAACGACCAAAAACCAGCCAGGTAGAGGGCAGAAGTGACTTTGTAATGCCAGAGATGACCTTCAAGCCTCATAAATCAGAGGATGACTTCAAGTGACCGTGAAAAAGAATGGGAAACATTAAGTGGTGTGAAATGTACTGTTAGGACAGTTAGGACTGCAAGGGCTCCTAGAAGCCCTTAGAGACCCATAAAGCCAGGAAGAAGAAGCCCTTCATCAGTGAGAAGCAGGGATGAGCCAGGCTGGAGTTTGCGAAAAAATCTATATATTACATAGGTGCATATCCATAAATCAGGAAATTAGTGAATTTTGTCGTGGTCTCTTAATTTATTCCCTAGCTGTATAAAGCATGTGTCTCACCCTAGCCGATGGGTACTGTGTCTTCTTCATCTGAATGATGAAGTGTATTTGTGTATTTCCTTAGCCCAAACCTTAACAGCTTTATTTATTTAGATATTTCAGGAGCCCAGGTCAAATATTGCAATGTGTGATCAATTTATAAGGAAAACGACTAGATCAAAAGCAAATCAAATATAATAAATACAGAAACTTCATCTCTACTTTTCCATATCCAGTTAGAACAATTAAAGCTCTGAAATTACTCTGCTTTTTGAGTTATTCGGCCTATAGCGATGAGGATTTCCGTGTCTTGTCATGGGATTAAAGATCAAACACTGACTATCACTGATTGTCTCCCCGGTTATGCAGGAAGAACAGAGATTCCGTGGAGCTCTACTGGATGGGCGCCTTTCATGATCCCAGTAGAGGGGAGCTCAGTCACCACAGTGTCGGCTCAGTCCCATCACTTCTCAGCCTGCTGGTGCAAAACAAGAGCTCCTCTCAGATGACTGAAAGAGGACCAGGGATCCAAGAAAGCAGGACTTCAAAGGGGGGGACACCGTGTCTGGTGGCGCTGAAGAGGGGGTCCGGCCACTTTCCCATGGGAGCGCGCAAGACGAGACAAAGACAGGTGAGTCTCCATCTGTCATCCTTCTCCATCTTCTGCTTGACAGGCATCAGCGCTTGAAGTCTCATGAAAGCTGTGTGGGTGTCAGGACCAAGGTCTATGACACAACAGGAAGAACCGTGGACGTGTGGCAACAAATAATAGTAAAGCTGCATTCAGAAAAAATGCAGTTTGCATGCCTTTGCTTGTCTCATTTTCCTTGTAATTGTTGCATTACGTAAGACCTACAGTCGTTGTAGTGCCTACAACAGCCTGTAGGTGTCACCATTGCATCCCACTATATCTAATAATACAACAGAACATAAATATCACGACCCTTCAAAGTGCTGCTTACATGTTGCTTGCTTGCCAGAACAATAAAGTATAGTGTCTGCCCTCAGTATAATAAAATTTGTGAGATAAAATCTCCGTGTCAGGATTTGCTTTTGGTGGTTTTAATGGCCTGGAATCGTTTCTTGACTCAAAGCATTTCCAAGTCAATCATGGCTGA